GGAGAGTGGTGTGTGAGGGGATGGTAGTGGGAGAGATGTGTGTGAGGGGATGGTAGTGGGAGAGAGGTGTGTGAGGGGATGGTAGTGGGAGAGAGGTGTGTGAGGGGATGGTAGTGCGAGAGGTGTGTGAGGGGATGGTAGTGCGAGAGGTGTGTGAGGGGATGGTAGTGGGAGAGGTGTGTGTGAGGGGATGGTAGTGGGAGAGGTGTGTGAGGGGATGGTAGTGGGAGAGAGGTGTGTGAGGGGATGGTAGTGGGAGAGAGGTGTGTGAGGGGATGGTAGTGGGAGAGAGGTGTGTGAGGGGATGGTAGTGAGAGAGGTGTGTGAGGGGATGGTAGTGAGAGAGGTGTGTGAGGGGATGGTAGTGAGAGAGGTGTGTGTGTGAGGGGATGGTAGTGGGAGAGGTGTGTGTGTGAGGGGATGGTAGTGGGAGAGGTGTGTGTGTGAGGGGATGGTAGTGGGAGAGGTGTGTGTGTGAGGGGATGGTAGTGGGAGAGGTGTGTGTGTGAGGGGATGGTAGTGGGAGAGGTGTGTGTGTGAGGGGATGGTAGTGGGAGAGGTGTGTGTGTGAGGGGATGGTAGTGGGAGAGGTGTGTGTGTGAGGGGATGGTAGTGGGAGAGGTGTGTGTGTGAGGGGATGGTAGTGGGAGAGGTGTGTGTGTGAGGGGATGGTAGTGGGAGAGGTGTGTGTGTGAGGGGATGGTAGTGGGAGAGGTGTGTGAGGGGATGGTAGTGGGAGAGAGGTGTGTGAGGGGATGGTAGTGGGAGAGGTGTGTGAGGGGATGGTAGTGGGAGAGGTGTGTGAGGGGATGGTAGTGCGAGAGGTGTGTGAGGGGATGGTAGTGGGAGAGGTGTGTGTGTGAGGGGATGGTAGTGGGAGAGGTGTGTGTGTGAGGGGATGGTAGTGGGAGAGGTGTGTGAGGGGATGGTAGTGGGAGAGAGGTGTGTGAGGGGATGGTAGTGGGAGAGGTGTGTGAGGGGATGGTAGTGGGAGAGGTGTGTGAGGGGATGGTAGTGGGAGAGGTGTGTGAGGGGATGGTAGTGGGAGAGGTGTGTCATTGGATGGTAGTGGGAGAGGTGTGTGTGAGGGGATGGTAGTGGGAGAGGTGTGTGTGTGTGAGGGGATGGTAGTGGGAGAGGTGTGTGTGTGTGAGGGGATGGTAGTGGGAGAGGTGTGTGAGGGGATGGTAGTGGGAGAGAGGTGTGTGTGTGTGAGGGGATGGTAGTGGGAGATGTGTGTGAGGGGATGGTAGTGGGAGAGATGTGTGTGTGAGGGGATGGTAGTGGGAGAGGTGTGTGTGTGAGGGGATGGTAGTGGGAGAGAGGTGTGTGAGGGGATGGTAGTGGGAGAGAGGTGTGTGAGGGGATGGTAGTGGGAGAGAGGTGTGTGAGGGGATGGTAGTGGGAGAGAGGTGTGTGAGGGGATGGTAGTGGGAGAGAGGTGTGTGAGGGGATGGTAGTGGGAGAGAGGTGTGTGAGGGGATGGTAGTGGGAGAGGTGTGTGAGGGGATGGTAGTGGGAGAGGTGTGTGAGGGGATGGTAGTGGGAGAGGTGTGTGTGTGAGGGGATGGTAGTGGGAGAGAGGTGTGTGAGGGGATGGTAGTGGGAGAGAGGTGTGTGAGGGGATGGTAGTGGGAGAGAGGTGTGTGAGGGGATGGTAGTGGGAGAGGTGTGTGAGGGGATGGTAGTGGGAGAGAGGTGTGTCAGGGGATGGTAGTGGGAGAGGTGTGTGAGGGGATGGTAGTGGGAGAGGTGTGTGAGGGGATGGTAGTGGGAGAGAGGTGTGTCAGGGGATGGTAGTGGGAGAGGTGTGCCACAGTAAGAGGGGATAGTGACCAAGGTGAGGGTAAGGAGGGGAGAGCGTGTACTCCCGGTGACCTACTTCCCACCTTGTGACGCGCCTCACCTCCCAGCCTCACCTCCCAGGCTAGTCCACAACCTGGAGATGCA